ACCAGCATCTTCCTGGTGGTGTGAACCTACAGCGTATTCCTCTAACGCAGGCTTCTCAGGGTCATTTTGATCTGTAGAACATTAGCATTTCCTATACAGTGTTACATGTGTATCCTTGAGGAGCCTGGGCATGAAGGATTTTTATTTTAAATTCAACAGTGAAGGGGTGGTTAAAACATGTCTTGGACTTTTGGGATCATGACTGACTACAGGAAATAAACAAGAAGCAGATTACACAGCAAATATAGAACACGTTTGATTTTTTTCATGTCCCTGGGAGTGTATCTCAAATATTAAAAAAGGATAAGAGACCAAACGTTAACAACAACAAAAATCCCAATAAAGTACATCTCCATGTTGAATTTCGCACGCAGCCAAAGAGAATAACAAAATCCTCAACAACAATTCAGCATGGGAATTATTTTTTTAAAATGTTTCCTTGCTTTCCCCAGATCCACAGAGTTCTCCTGTGGGCCCAATGAAATCTGAGAATGGTATTAAGAAATTAAACTTGAAAAGAAGTTGTCTCTTGCAGATGCAGGGTGGAGTGAGAGAGAGCCCATGTACCCCCAGGGGAGGAACCCTACAGATCTGGCCCTGGGCAGTTCTAGGAGAATGATAGCAGTGGTGCTGGAGTTAATGAAGGGCAGCAGTTCACTGGGGCTTTGACATTTGCTCATAGTAGGTTTTTCTGAAATGCGTTAGGGAACTACAATGCTTAAAATATGCTCTCCCTTAAAGGTGAAGGGGAGGGGTGATGGTGTGGGAGGCTCATGGAGTGGGGACTGGGAAGGGGGACAACATTTGAAACGTAAATAAATAAATTAAAAAAAAATAATCTCCGACTATCCACCTTAGTTCCTGCCCTGAAAATGCTGGATTAGGCAGGCACTAGGGAGCTCGGAGGAAGGGAGTGGCTGGGTAGAGATGATTAGTATAGACTGTACAAACGTGTGGAACATTCAAAGACTAAAAGGAACAAATTACAGCACATTCCTGGTGTCTGTCTGTCTCTCTCTCCCCTCCCCTTTCTTCCTCCTCTTTCTTTCTTTCCTTCCTTCCTTCTTTCTTTCTCTCTTTCTCTCTCTCCTCCCCCTTCTCTTTCTCTCTCTTCCCCCCTCTTTCTTTCTTTTTTTTCCAGACAGGGTTTCTCTGTGTATCCCTAATTGTCCAAACCAGGCTGGCCTCAAAGTCAGAGATCCACTTGCCTTTACCTCCCGAATGCTGGGATTACACACACGCACCACCACTGCCCGGCCTCATTTCTGATCCTTTTCACGAGTGAGCAAACAATATGTCACAAGAGTTGAGGATTAAAATGCCCGAGTGGACACAAATCATAACATAGCCCAGAGCTACTACAGAATTAGGTAATTTTCACGAGACACTCCTCCAGTGCATCTGCTTTCCCAATATTATTTCTTAATGATTGTGTACAATTTATAGTAGGCATTATTTTCTCTTAAAAATATATACAATTAAAAAACTACTCATATTTATAAATAATAACATGTTAACTTTCTGTATTTGTTTTTTTAAATATTTGTTTTTATTTATGTATTTGGGTGTGTCTACCCACAGACGTGTGTGCTCATGTCCAGAAGAGAGTCCTGATCCCTGGAGCTGGAGTAACAGGCAGTTGTGAGCTGCCCACTCGTGGGTGCTGGGAACTGAATTCTTGCCCTCTGAAAGATGAGCGAGTGCTCTAACCACTGAACAGCCTCTCCAGCCCCTCACATGCTTGATTTTATATGATTAATTAAACAATTAATTGTTAATTATTTTTGAGGCAGGATTTCACTCTGCAACCCAGGATGGCCTTCAACACACAGTGACCTTCCTGTTTTGGTATCTGTGGTGCTCAAGTCACAGGGGTGAGGAGCCACGCCTCTTTGGCTTTTTTTTTTTTTTTAAACCCGGAGCAATAGAATTCATAAAGATATGAATGTGTTCTAAAACACCAATTATATAATGAGAATTATTTATATATTTGTAGTTTCTATTAGTTAGGTTTTGTACTCTCATAACTCTCCAGGATTTTATCTCTACCTCCATGATTTATGTTGTTGGCTTACTATTTTTTATTACTTTGGAGTCCTTTAAAAGTATTTTATTTAGTATGTGTATGTGTATGTGTATGTGTATGTGTATGTGTGTATGTATGTGTGTGTGTATGTGTGTGCGTATGTATGTGTGTATGTGTGTGTATATATGTGTGTGTATATGTGTGTATGTATGTGTGTATGTGTGTGTATGTGTGTGTGTATGTGTGTGTGTATGTGTGTGTGTGTGTATGTGTGTGTGTATGCATGTGTGTATGTGTGTGTGTATGTATGTGTGTGTGTGTATATGTATGTGTGTGTATATGTGTATATGTATGTGTGTATGTATGTATGTGTGTGTACCTGTGTGTCTGTGTGTGTGTATGTGTGTATGTGTATATGTGTGTATGTGTGTGTATGTGTATATGTGTGTATGTGTGTGTATGTATGTGTGTATGTGTGTGTGTGTGTATACTAGCAAGTCACTTTCTCAGAAACTTGCTTTATGTTTTACATGCCACCTTATTTTACTAAACCCTACATTTGTAGTTTCTATTATTTTAACTTCTTGTGGGTGTTATTTCTGGTTGTTTCTTCTGATTTTTTTCTTATTTGTTTGTTTTCTTTACTTCTGTGTCTCATAATTTTGACTTGTGAGTGCATGTTTGGCTGATTCTTTTTTAATTTCTGGAAGTTCTATGAGGTATATGTATAGATCTAGAATGGACACACACACACACACAGTGAATATATATATACACATACATCTACCTATCACTTATCTATAGATTATCTATCTATCTATCTATCTATCTATCTATCTATCTATCATCTATTGATCTACCAAGTTGCTGCTTTTATTTTTATAAAGCGCACAGAATGCTGCTAACTAGGACATGTTGATTGCTCCACCTGGCATTTTGTGTTTTTTTAAGGTCTGAACTTTCCCAGTTTTGAATAATCCGTGGATAGTTCTTAATCAAAATAAGAAAGCCAGGTTTGTACTAATTAATTTGCTCCTAGAGTCTTAGTTCAGCAGACAGATTTAACTGTGTGGTTCACCTTTGCTTTTCTTGTTTTGCGCCCCTTACAGGAGCCCTCATTGTCACTTCTGGCTCCTGCAAGCCCAGGTTTGTCTCTGACTCTTGCAGGTCACTAAAACATAAGCAATTGGTACTTCTCTGGTTTTTTAGCTCTTGTTAAAGTTTTGGAATTTTGAAGTACGTTTTGGAAATTCTTTTAGGTTTTTAAAGTTCTGCTGTGTGTGCTCTCAGTTTGCCCAGTGTACTTGGGTTATAGTGAAACTGGCTACCATATTACATAAACTCTCTACATGTGTGCACAGATGTGCCCCTTTAGAGGATATCCCTTTGAAACTTGGAGAATCCTTTCTACCACAAAGCTGAAAATGGCACCTTAACCAACTGTTCATGGATTGCCAATGAGTTAGCGTGTCAACAGACTGAACTATGCACAAAGACGATTGGTTGGGCTTATTTCTACTGTGCCATCCTAGGCTTCATATCGGAGGCACAGAAACACGAAGAGCTGCACGTATAGCCTCCTCTGTTTGTAAAAACATACTATTCTTCTAGGACACGGTTCATTTATTATAGCAAAAATGAAAAAAACAGCGCGCTTTTAAAAGTTTTTAAGTTTTGTGGGCTTGCATTCTCTCAAGTAGTTGCAGAATTATACATGTGAACTTATATCTCACCAAAGGAAAAAAAGAGAAATCTGAGTTTCCCTAAATGGTGTAATAATTTTGACAAGGAAACAAACATTAACGGAAGTCAAGCAAACAACCATTTCAGCACGATGGCCAACACCTGGGAAGCAGCACCAGGGATGGCAGCCTTCAGGAACTACTCAATTTTGTTCTCATGGTACAAAATAAAGACTAAGTCTCAGAAAAGATGGCCAGTGTGGAAATAAATCTACCTTTGTCTGGATTTTGAACTGTAGAGAGAAAATACTGTGTATTGTACAGATGCATCACCTGTCAATGAAAAAGTCTTTGGCCTACGGTTTAAGCAGGAAATAGAGGTGGGGCATCCAGGAGACAGGAAGGATTCTGGGATAGGACCAGGCCCAGGAAGAGTTATCCAGGAAGATGTGAGGAGATGGATCCATGGAACACCTGAGCACAGGTAACCAGCCATGTGGCAGAATATAGGTTAAAATAATTGAGTTGTTTTAGTTATCATTCTAGTCAGAGACGAGCCTAACTATACAGCCAAGGTATTTGTAAATATATTTTGAGTCTGGGTTTTATTTCTGAGAGCACGGGACCGGGAGGAAGAACCGGGCCATAGCTCAACATTGGATTTTTTGCTATAATGATATTAGAAAAGTTATTTGATTTTTATTAGTTCTCTCCACTGTTTCTTTCAGTCTCGTTTTCCTAACGAGTCCCTACTTGTCCCCCTATTTCCCGTTGTCACCCTCTCCTCCCTCATCCCACTGCCCAGCGCATGCCACTCCCTTATTCTGGTCTGGTTGGCATCCAACAACATCTGTCTCTTCCATTACACAGTGATTAACAGATTTATCGTGTTTCTCCCACCAGGAAGTTAAAATTACCCATGGAAGGATCTGCTCTGCTTTATTTACTGATACATACAGGTGTCAACAACCCAAACGGTACCTGTTAATAAATAAAAATTACTTGTTTTGTAATAATTTTTATTTCCTTGCCCGTCATGTTTTTTTATTGAGATATATGTGTGCAAATGAGAAACATGCATGACATATATGTTAACTGGCCTGAAGGATGGTTATCACTCCTAGAACAATACCAATTATCATTTGCCAGAGGTATAAAGTGACCTCCCCATTTGATGCCTTTGTCCATCTTATATAAACATTTTGTAAGGGCATGGTCATCTCATTGAGTTCAAACCTCTCCTACTGTAGAAGTAACGTGTTTAACATTCAGGACTGGGCTAAGCTTCATACCTCATTTTTCTCTTTGAGTTTTGTGATCATAACAATCACGGGACTGTCTTCTTGCCAAACCATCTGCCAGAAGTCATTCACAGTGTTGATCATGGGGCCCTGGGTGGCAATAAAGGCTTTCTCCTTACCACTGTAGCCCTAGTTGGAGTAAAGAGACAAACATATTGGCTTATGTTCCAGATTGTAACGGACATTTGGGGGATGGTCTTTAGAATGATAGAGGTGTGGAAGTTCAAAAGCAGCTTCCTTGCTTCTAGCACCATAGACATAGACGTGGTGTTTCCTAGAAAATCCAGCTTGCCATTAGGGAGTAAGGGTTGTAAAGTTCTGTCCCACAAGAATGTCCACATGTAGATTATACTCAAGGATTCACAGCCAAGGAGGGAGGACTCATAGCCAAGGAGGGAGGACTCACAGCCAAGGGGGGAGGACTCACAGCCAAGGAGGGAGGACTCACAGCCAAGGGGGGAGGACTCACAGCCAAGGAGGGAGGACTCACAGCCAAGGAGGGAGGACTCACAGCCAAGGAGGGAAGATTCAGGGTGAAACATCTATCGCCAGTGTTGCTGAGATTATAACGTATAACATGAAACACTACTGACCAAATTAAAGCAAACTTTATTCAGTGGAAAGAAGATGCAGACAAAGCTGGGGGGCATTTCTTAGGGGGAAAAAAAGGTAAAAGCATCAATTCCAAATTGTAAGTCAACCTGCTAACCTGAAAGAAATGGATAGCTACTTACCCGAATGTAATTAGCATTAATGTAAGTACTCAATGAATCAGTTATATTTTTTGGTCTTAAGCACACTCTGCTGAGGGGATCTGAGGAAGAAACCAGAGAGGACACATTGAGTAGATTTACTTTTAAAAAAAAATCTTCAGAGCAAACATAAGCAGCAGAGAGAAGTGTGTAAATTCAAGTCTATTCACCCAGTGTCTGTTTGTCTTTGGTGTCCATGTGTGTCCATCTCTTGATCTATCGCTGACATTGGGTGCCCTCATTGACCCCTGATTCTGACATAGGTTATGACATCTTTTAAATGGAGTTCTGATTCTTAACTCTTCTCTCATCTGGACCCTTCTTTTTTTTCTTTAGATTTGAAGTTTACGACCCTGCTTTTCTCCTATTCCTTCAGAAAAGCATTGGGCTGTCCTCTCCTATTTCTCTCCGCTACATCACCTGATCCAGCCCTTCAGGACCTCAGCCTGCCTGGCAAGTATTTCAGCAGTGTTCCTTGATTTACTGGGATTGAAATGTATGCCATCAGCATGGGGTTGAGTGGGGCAAGTGAGAGTGAGAGGAAGTTGAAGAGCAGAGCTCCTTCTCAGTCTGTTCTTAAAACAACAAACAATGTTACTGACCACCATAAGATGCGGCTGCTCTCAACGCATTAGAGTTCCTGCATCATCAAACCTGTAAGTCTAAGAGAAGTTCCCTTAGGCAGTGGCTGCCACTCTATCAGCGTATTCTAAACTGAAACACGGTCCTGTTCATAGAAGGCAGGCCTTCACTCAGTTTACCCAAAACACTACAGTACTCTTCCTGTGCCTTTTTAGATGACCAGAGAGAAGCAGGGTGAGTGTGGAAATGGATCAGTTAAAGGTCAGGTGTAACCTCACAAAGGATAAAGAATTGGGGTTCAGCACATAGACCTCTTCTGGGAGACAAGCCTTCAGCACTTATGGGAATTTCTCTGAAGGGTCATGATGGGCCAACAGTTCTGAAGCAAACTAGAGCCGAGTGGGCTCTGGGAATGTGTCCAGTGGCAACCTGATCAGCTAAAGTCCTCATAGGACAGATCCTGTGGAGAAGCCAAATGACACGAATCATTTGGCCCCGTGTCATTGCCTGCACTTCTTCTGAAACCACGTCACATCTCTATGTTTCCTATAACAGTTGGTTAGGGGCAGATTGACCTTTATTGACATTGGCCATTTCTACCCAATTTTACATTCAAGATGTATTCATTTTTAAAGAACGCATCTCCAAAATAGTGTAGCTTTGGCATCTCAACTTCACCAAACTTGGTCTAGCCATGTTATATAATGTGTACCATGTCGTTTACAGTGACAAAGGACTTTCTGCTAGACTGCTTTTTATTCCTCCATCTTAGCTGCATTTTAATACACATCAAACAAAAAAATCCAAACATTTTGTAGAACACACACACAGTAAGAGAAAGAGAGAGAGAGCAAGAGCGAGAGACAGAGAGAGAGAGAGAGAGAGAGAGAGAGTCAGAGAGAAAGAGAGAGTGGGAGGAGAGAGGGAAAGGGAAGAAAGGAGAGAGAGAGAGTCAGAGAGAGAGAGAGAGAGAGAGAGAGAGAGAGAGAGAGAGAGAGAGACAGAGAGAGAGAGAGAGAGAGAGAGAAGAAGAACCACAGGGATGTAAACAGCACTTGGTGACCAGGTTCCATTGGTGGTAGGGTGGGAGGGGCCTAACTGCTGGTCTTTGTGCAGTGGCCTTGAGCTTCTCACTGAGCATGATGTGCACTGCCGTATGACGTCAGTCATCGACACTGAAGTACACATAACCATGTACAGTCATCCCCTGCCAGACTCAGACTCTCGAGGCTACAGCCAAAGCGCTACCTGTTTACACTGCCAGACAATCTGACCCAAACTTGACTTTTCCCTTTAATCTACTACTTAGCCTGTTCTAAGCTAGACATTCTTCTCAAAGAAATAGCAACAATTCAATGGACTGCTGGTTATCCACATACCCACAAAAACCCAGATATCCTTACCGGTACATACATATATGGACAAACTTCAAACCATATATGGACAACTTATTATGGGCTAGCACAGTAAAGGCAATCACGATATTTAAAGTCCTGATCATTTGCTAATTATCAATTTATATAGCATTTCAATTCTATGATGACTTAAAGCCTAAAAAAAGCCACAGAGTCATTAAAGTCTTCTCTGATACTTTGAGCCAATGGTGTTGGCTTGCCTAAACTATCTGTTCTGAGTTATTGTTTAGGAAACAAGGGTGGAACTTTCTGGGCTACGGATACTTTCCACTGAAAATCCATCATTTGCAGCATCAGTTGTCAGCACAGATATCCTGGACCAAGTAGCCCACCCAGTTCTAGACATGGAAAAGCTGATACAGACTGTGTAGCTGTTGTCTGATATCATCTGTGGCAGGAAACAGAGAAGGCTGGGCTCTGAAACAACCAGAACAAACTGAAAACTCTTTGAAACCAGAGGACATATGATCATTGCGGTGGGACATTGGTCCTGATTATTTAATTCTTGGTAAATTTTAGAGAAAATTTTAGGAAAGACAGAGAGAAAGGGAGAGAGAGAGAGAGAGAGAGAGAGAGAGAGAGAGAGAGAGAGAGAGAGAGAGAGACCTTTTTATTCTCTTCTAATTATTACAGTCATAAATAAAATATCTATGCCTTAAGAAATAGATTTAATGATTTTGACTCATTAAAAGTACATTACATGCCAGGCAGTGGTGGCGTGCGCCTTTAATCCCAGCACTTGGGAGGCAGAGGCAGAGGCAGGCGGATTTCTGAGTTCAAGGCCAGCCTGGTCTACAGAGTGAGTTCCAGGACAGCCAGGGCTATAAAGAGAAACTCTGTATGGGAAAAAAAAAGTACATTACAGTGGGATGATTTTTACCAGAGGAGGAGACCCATATACAGCATTGATAGTAATTATTAATTATTTGATTTTAATATGTTTCTATTAATACAAATATGAAAATATATTTTGTATCTTATGAATAAACTAATAAAATTAATATTACTTAAAAACTCAGTACCTTTTCCTTTTTAAAAATTAACATGTATTAATTATAAAACTGTGTTTTGTCATGTCAAATTTTTATATGTTTATATAATGAATCTTGACTGTACTGATTCCCCCGTCAACCTCCCTTGACAGGCATTTGTGTCATTTCTAATTTTTAGTTCTTGTAAACCATGCTACTATTAATATTTTATGTACAATTTTGGATTAACCTGCCTAATTTTCACAGAGCATATGCTTAGGAGTTGTTACTTGGGTCATATACATTAATAAAGACATATAGTTTATATAACAACTTTTTTCTGTGTTAAGAGGAATCAAGGGTAAGATCCTGTGATATTAGGCAAACCCTCTACTCTGACCCATCAAACCTTAGCTGTTCAGGAACTGCCAGTTTAACAGGTGCTCTACGGTCTTGCTAGTGACACTTAAAGGTTCTGACATCTCTACATTCTTGTCCACATTTTATTGTGTCTACTTAGACCATAATGATAACCACAGTGGATATGAAGCGGTGTCTCTCTTTGCTTCTGAACTCTCTGATGGATAATAATACTGGCCATCTCTTACGCTTGTTGGTCGTCTGTATGTCTTCTATGCGGAGTTTCTATTCAAGTACCTTTCCCTGTTTTTAAATGACTTTGTTGTGTATGATTTCAGGGCTGACCATCTGGCAATGGATAACCAATCGGAGAGCTCTTTTCTGGGCAAGACTGTTTGTCCTGTTCTCAGTATCCCTTAGTTGCCTGTTAGGACTTCATGAGATTTGTCTCCTTCCATGTTAGCATGTCTATTGGTGTTGTACTAATATTATACAGACTGAACAGGTTGTACTTTAGGAATACACACACACACATACACACACACACACACACACACACACACACACACACACACACACACACTTCTAAAGAAAAATGAGCCTGAGAGAAAGAGGTCCCTGGGAGTAGTTGTGGAGAGGAAAGAGAAAGGAGAGAATGATATAACTATATCTTAATTTCAAAAACTAAAAAATATTAAATCCTAAAATATTGCATTGTCATCTTTAACATGTGGGCTGTTAGAATACTTTTTAGATTCTATATACAAGTCTCATATCAAAGTTTTTTCTGTAACTATTGTCCCATTCAGTGGGTTATCTCATTTCTTAGGATGACATTTGAAACATGAAACTTTCGTATTTCAGTGATGTTCATTCCCTCTGTATTCTGGTCTGAATTTTTGGTGTCATCTAAGAGGCCACCAGATACTTCAAGCTTATGAGAATTTGTGCTTGCCTGCCTTCCTTCCTTCCTTCCTTCCTTCCTTCCTTCCTTCCTTCCTTCCTTCCTTTCTTTCTTTCTTTCTTTCTTTCTTTCTTTCTTTCTTTCCTTTTTTGTCTTAGCTTCTATCTCTACATGCAAATATCCTATCCATTTTGAATTAATTTTTATATATGGTCCAAGGCAAGATTCAATTTCTTTTTCCTTCATGCATGGAATCATTTAACCCTATGATGAAAAATTGGTTAACTGTGACGTGTAACGCAATGGTGTTTTAGAACCATGGATCTTTCTGGAATTGTGAGCTGGCCACTGTAATGAATGTAGTATTAAACAGAGTTACTCAACTTCAGATAACTTTAGTGATGCCTAGTCTTGACATATGTGTCAGCTCTAAGCTTGGTGTCTGTGAGAGTGTTGTGAGGGTTGGGGGGAGGGGGAGGTAGAGGTGAATGGGCGACATTGATTTACGGTGGAAATTATCATCTCAAGAAACTTACTTGGCAAAATGGTCTTATAACGATTTTTAGTTCCGTGACGTGGAATATCAATTTCTTTGGGATCCACAAAGTTCATTGGTATTTCCTGGAAAATAAATGATTCAAGTTCTGTATTTAACACTGACACCAAGAACATCTTCACAGGGGGGCACTGACCCTGTGATCTTCAAAGTTATTTATAAAACAACAGACTAGTGCACTGGCTGACCAGAATCTTAGTAGATAAAATACAGCCTGTGAGCTTATGACTAGGAAACAGCCCTGTGTATTTGGAAATGTTATATATATAGTTACTACAGAGAGAGAGAATACTCAATAGTAAGCCCCTTGCTGTGGCTTCCATTAGGAAAATACTTTTTAAAAAACAATATATTCAACTTTGTTCAAAAACTTTAAAAATTAAATGAATTAATTACTAATTAATATGTTTGTTTATTTGTTTTTCAAGGCAGAGTTTCTCTGTTTAGCCCTAGTGGTCCTGGAACTTGCTCTGTAAACCAGGCTGGCCTTGAACTCAAAGAGATCCAACTGCCTCTGTACCTCAAGTATATGTACCTACCACCACTGCCCAGCTTTATTTTATTCTATTTTTGATGTCTTTAAAAACTTTTTATAAGATTAGCATAAAATTGCATGAAGATTAATTGTGATTCTTTTAGACTCATTAAAACTTCCTCCCAAAGTGACAAGCATGGAAGGATTTTGTTGTTGTTGACCCATATTGAAACTTTTTTTTTAATTGAGGAAGTCCTTATAATTGCACTGTTCCATTTGTGGTTATAAACAGAATACTTGTAGGAAAAGGATCCACTTTTCTCGTCCTTACCAAGAAGATAACATTCTTATCTAGTAAGAATATAGATCACACGGCTCAGAGGGTCAGAGAGGAAGAGTTAGGACTGACTGGTCCTATTCCAACCCGTGAAACCTAAAATGGAATGAATCCTTATATGACCAGGCTCAAGAAATGGGCAAGAACTTCAAAAAGACATAGGCAAGCATTTTAAAACTTTCTTATAAAAATACAGTCTTTCTTTCTTCCTTCTTTCCTTCCTTCCTTTTACTCAGTACACTGTCACTTTCTTCAGACATACTAGAAGAGGGCATCAGATCCCACTACAGATGGTTGCGAGCCACCATGTGGTTGCTGGGAATTGAATTCATGGCCTCTGGAAGAGCAGTCAGTGCTTTTAACCACTGAGCCGCCTCTGCAGCCCCAAATACAGTATTTCTTAAAGTTCTTAAATAGAGTGGATGAATCAGGGAGAAATTAAATAAAATGACTGTGGTGTTATCAGATGATGAAGGAAACTAACTTCTTCAGTTTTATAAAATATTTTTCTTATTTCAATTAGCATGCATTAGCATACATTAACGTTATAAAATAAACACATTTACCCCGTTGTTTTCATGCATGTATAGAATGCACTTTGACTACATTCGCTACCTCCTATTTTTCCTGTTCCCTTTGTCCAAGTTCTCTTTGGCAAAAATAACTAAACAACAAAATGAGTAAACTCATCCAGAACTTCACCCAGGTTGTCCCCTTAGTCTGGCAATCTGAAAACTTCAAAGAATCCAGATTGTATCATCAATCGAAAACTTGGATAGAAAGAAGAACTTTTTTTAATATAAAAAAAAATCCATTTCATTAATTTCTGTGATTTTTAGACATTTAAGATTGTCTTCTACTCCACGGAAACATTTACATTTCTTAGTTCTAAGACATTAAAACCAAACAAAATAGAATTGTTGAATGTTCAAGGATTTTTTTTTTTTTTTTGAAGCAAGATCTCAAGCAACCCTGGCTTTCCTCAGACTGGCTGTGGAGGTAAGGATGGCCCTGGACTTTTAATCTGCCACCACTTCTGGTTAATATGGTGATGGGGATCAAACTCGGGGGGTTCACATATGCCTGCTAACTCTGCCCGTTAACCTGAGTCGCAACACACATGTTCGTTTTTGATTAATTCCAAGTCTGTCTGCTTTGACAAAGCTAGAGAAGGTAACATGTTTAACCCTGTCATCCCATTCTCTTTCATTTCCCCTGTTCTCGGGCACACGCTGACAGCCTGTCGGAACCCCACATTGTTGCTCTCTGTGTTGGCCTTGGCTATTTCAAGGGCGTATTTCATAGAGACGTATTGATAGCCCCATGACAGGCTCTAGATGCTAGGCACTGTGACGTTAACTGGCTCTTCCATTTCTAGGTTTAATTTGCTTACCATATAAAAATGGACACACTACGGCATCTCGCTTTGGAAGGTTGATGATAGTTGGTGTCTCTAACAGGGAGTCTAACACACTGATCATTCTCCACTAGTTTGATGCCCAATATTTGAACTGACCACAGAACCATCTATTTATTATACTTGATCAATATAGCTCAAGCTGGGTAACTCTGATGTAAAGCCATCTAAAAAGTGAGTACTCCCCTCAGGTAATACGAACTTCTACTCCAACTTTATTTCCCTGTGTGTAGTATCTTACCATGCAATATTAACTGCATGCAAACTGATGCAATATTGATTTTTCTAAAATAGTCTCATACAGCATTTATTATTATTTTTAGTCCACACTTGGTCTTTCTTGAATTGTGTTACCCAAATTAAAAATGAAAACCAAAATGACAAAAAAAATCCTGAGTACCATCTGTAACGTCTCCATTCTTTGGCTGCCTCATCCAATAAAACCAATGTTTTGTTTCGCGTTACACATTGTCTCAATTTCTCTGAGAGTATTTTATTGTTGACACCTTCCTGTCTGTGGTTTCCATGGAATTGCCTCTTGAGCCTCCAATCCGTTCCTCTCAGTGCCTTTTCCACTGCAGACCCAGTGGCTTTTCTAAAATAAGCTTACACCCCATTTTCTAAACATGTATTAAAATCTGTGGGTTTACCTTTTTTCCTCTCTGTGTTTCTGAGGCTCGACTGTTGCCACTTCCCAGTAAACCAGAACAATTCAATTCCCCATGATCACAGAAAAGCTAAATCCTCATCTAGAAATGTCTCTCTCTCTCTCTCTCTCTCTCTCTCTCTCTCTCTGCTCCAGTCCCCTATGGCACTGTACACTGCTGTGTGCTCTTACACGCTCGGAGTCAGTTAAGAACTGCGTTGCAGCCTCAACAGCCAATCAATAGGTAAGACAGGAGGTGTATCTAAACCTATTTAGACACTTTCCCTTTTGCATTGCAACCGTTTGCTCACAGTCAGCTGCTTGAGATAGCACCATTTCCAGATTCAGATCCAGTGCTTAGAATAGCAAGACAGAGTAAGAAGGAGTGGGCTCACCATGAATTCACTTTGAAGTAGGTGGGAACTTGCCACAACTTCCCTCAGCTGTGGCCTTGTGAGAACTCGGCTGGCTGACTGCAGGTACTCCATGGCGACCTTTTCCCGGGGGGTTGAGACGGCCACAAAGGGTTCCACATTTCCCAGGCTACTCATGTCCAGTGTAAGAGATACATTGGACCCTCGTCTACATGAGAAAAGAATGTTATGATATTTAAATATTCATAAATTTGCTTTATTATCTATGAATTTTAAATATTATTTTGGTCACACAAATTGTCTTTTTTTGTACAAGAACATACTTCAATGAGATTTTTCCAGAAATAAGGATCAGATATGTAGTATATACTTGGTATCATGACTGACTATAGCAAGTCTCCATAGTGCCTTTATAAAGGAAATTGACAATTTTATTGTTGTAAACAATTCTGAATTGAGAACATGTACATAAGTTATTAGTAAACATACTTGTTGCAGAGATAATAGGGTGATTAATAATTTTAAATGAATTTCAGAAAAAGTAAAGACATTTGAATGGAGAAATCATATGTAATACAGAAGAGCATGTATGTATATGTATGTCTGGGAGTTCAAAATAGTCATGAAATGCTTTTCACAATGTAGACATCCTTCAAAGTAGTATATACTATACCATAAGTATTCCTTTATTTGTTAATTAGAACATAGTAACATTAAAATACCAATCTCTACTATAGTTTAAAGTGCTGCATTAAAATAGAATGCAAAAGTTTTAAAATATATGTGTATACATAAATTATATATATTGTAACTTCTAGATAAACCTTTTCTATCAAGCATTGATGGTACATACCTGAAATTCTAGAGGTTAGGAGATAAAGGCAAGAAGAACAGAAGTTTAAGGTCGTTCTCTGTTATAGAAGGAGTTTTGAGGCCAACCTGGGCCACATAAGACTATCTCAAACAAACAAGTACCAAGTCAAATAAACAAAAAAATACTTTGTATTTTGTACACATACACACACACACACACACAGATACATGAACACACACACACATAGCACACACATACACACGTGTGTGCACACACACAGATTATTTATTTAATTCTATAAAATGTTTAAGCTGGGCAGTGATGGCGCACGTCTTTAATCCCATCACTTGGGAGGCAGAGGCAGGCGGATTTCTGAGTTCAAGGCCAGCCTGGTCTACAGAGTGAGTTCCAGGACAGCCAGGGCTACACAGAGAAACCTTGTCTTGAAAAACCAAAAATAAATAAATAAATAAATAAATAAATAAATAAATAAAAATGTTTAAGAGGTCACCACAGACCTACAGGCTTAGTTTCAGTTGATCTTTTCTTTATAATTTCCCTTTTTTTCTTCTGGGAAGTAATGACTGAAGTACTTCCCCTACACAGACCTTGGTGTATTGGGTAGAAGACATAAGTTCCTCTTTGAAGTTCTGTCAGCTGTGAAAACCAACAGCAGCATGGGTGGCTGTTCTTACAACGCAACATGAGAGGAAGGGAGATTGAAAGAAGGACACAGAGACCATGTCCACAACGGCTGTAACTTGAAGAGCACAGGGGTGTGAGTCACAATACTGGATACAGCACCAAGTGTCTGGTCTCCTACAAAAGTGGAGAGCAGGAGCAGCAAGTTAAAACACGAGAGGAAAGACAGTGAAAGGAAATTCAGGGCCTCGGTAGTTCCTCCAAATGGTGTGCCAGGCTCCTTGTGTATTTTTTTTTAATTTTTATTTTATTTTATTTTAATTTTTTAAGGCTCTTGTTATTAGCTGAAATCTATGGTTTCTTGTGCTTCTGGGTAGAAAGTATACAGCTAAGAAGCATCAAAGGATGATTCTGGTTTTAGACCAAAAATTTTAATTTATTTTTAGAGAGAAAATGGTTTTTAAAGTGTTTGAATCCAGCGGTACTCGCCTTTAATCTTGTAGGAAATCCTGGTTCTGATTATGATTTGTTTTAGTTTTAGTGTATTTGTGAAAATTTGCTTTTGGTGTCCTTCCTTCCTTCCTTCCTTCCTTCCTTCCTTCCTTCCTTCCTCTCAGAAAGGAGTAGGGAGATGTTGTTCAGGTTTGCTGGTCAGAGAATTTAGCGCAATTCCATTCAATTTTCATCGATACTAGACAAAGCGTTCACAGTCTGTCAGTAGGGTGATATCCTGAGCTGCAGAGGTTCTGTGCACCGTGAGGTCTCTTCCATCTATGGTGGCAGGGCAGATATGTGGAGGTGGGATCATGTGAACTGAGCCCTGATCATCTGAGAGACAGCCTCGGAGGAGAAATGGTGTGGGAGAAGAACCCACGAGAGAACTTCGAGAGCGAGCAGAGCAGTCTGGACTGGACTTTGGAATGGATTTTGGAATCTGGAGCCGGGTCTTGCAGAGGAGACGAGAGGGGGAAGAGTGGCCAAGACTGCACGGCTCTCAGAAGCCTTCTAACTCCAGCAGAGAAGACCATGATGTTGTTGTCTATCCATGTTTGTTTTGTCGTCTCTCAGACACCCTACCTATTCCTGGAGAGTCAGAGCCCCACAGATGCCATGTCTAAGTCTGTTTGCTTTGATGAGCGAGTTTTCTGAGGGGGTCCATGGTCAGCCAAGGGCTGTGGAACCCGCTCAGAAAGGAAGTCTAGGTTTGGCTTGTCAAGGGAAGGAAGAAACGGTTCTGTTATTTGTCAAGACCTGTTATGTAGTGCTTGTGCATATGGAATGCCAACATTCATAGAATCTTTGGGAAATACTGATTCCCCTATTTTACCGGCGGGAAAAAATAGCCATCTTTGAAACAAAGTTGTCGATCAAAGACTCAACTCAAGTTAGAATATAAAACACAAGCTCTTTTTCCTTTGTCTCCCAAAGTGAAAGCATGTTGGCAGATTATGTTAGGTCACATGTTGGGTTGCAAGTCAAGTGTCTGGGAAGGGGAACAGTCAAGAACAGTATTTGAATACAGATTTTTAACTTCAAAGCACTTTAGTTTGACCTTAAATCTTGCCTGTCCACACCCTTGATGTGTTCTTAGGGTTACTTAGCTTCTCTGCATCTCTTTTCTTTTTCTATTTCCTTAAGAGTGAATAAATAATTAAGGATATTGTACTATACAGGTAACACAGAAGAAAGGATGTCAGTTGCTTTTAAAAAGCAATACATGGCTACTATTAATTTTGGAGAACAATGAACAAAATCCTCTAGAATTCTTACATTTTTACATTTCTCTAAGGGATCTGTTTTAGGGCACTCCCACTAGAGCTGCAAATTGTTTTTTAATCAAGATTATATTTTAATGCTTTGAGATCAATGGCTGTAACCTACACATTTGCCACTAAAGACAAATACATTTTGGTAACCGACTGTCTTAAATTTTGCCTTTATTACGGCAAATCCATTTGCCCTAAGTCCTAGGAACTTCCACAGCACTTCAGATCACCACCTCAGACAATGTCTCAAAGTCAACTCCAGAATTAAGCACGCACAGGCTGACCCTACAAAGAGCATTTGCTGCAGAACAGCCTTATCATGCGTGTTAATAACTCTCACATGCTTGTCATAAAATACGATGGTAGGCTGTTGTTGACTTGGGAAAAAAAATCTCTGCTTTTGTGAGCCCTTATTTTCAAGGAACAAATAATATTTATATTAATTGAAATATGGTGCCATTAGGAAATTGAATCAGAAGGATCAACTCACAAAAACTAACTGGCACATTTGGTGACTTACAGTCTGTTTGGAGCGAAGAGCTTAACTATATAGCCACATTTTAGTTGTAATGTTTTAATATAGCCTAATGAAAACAATGTGTTCTCTGTGGGAATTTATAAAATGTAGATGTTTGAAGGTGGAATTAAACTAACTAACATTTATAATTTTTACTAGTATTTAAATTGACTTTAAAATCTTTCTAATTTATAGGGACCAATAAGAGTAGCTAGTTGTTACAATTCTGATTTCCTTGGTTAGAGAGATGGATGAATTAAATAATCTTCACTGTTTATTTTTAGGTCTTTACCTTTGAGAAATTTTTTTTGGGGCCCCATCTTTCCTAATTTTTAGATTGTGTTGTATTTCCACTATGTTTCTGGTGTGACATTGTTTCTCAGACACATTTGTGGCAAATGCCAGTCTGCCGTTTGCCTTGAAACATTAAAATTGTTTAAAGTTTATAGCTCTGCTCAGCTAAGCATACTGATCTTTCTGAATACATAGTAACTGACTTTATTTTACATTTATCTACTGTGTGTTTCTATGTTCAACAGCACATATGTTGAGGGCAGAGAACAACTTTGGAGTTAGTTCTCTCTCTGCCTTTTGAGTTCTAGGGAAGGAGCTCATGGGCTCTGCCCTGGTGGCAAGTTCCTTTACTCCACTGTGGTGGTTTGAATAAAAATGGTCCCAAAGGCCCAAGGGGAGTGGCACTATTAGGAGGTGTGGCCTCGTTGGAATAGGTGTGGCTGGCTTTGTTGGAGGAAGTATGTCACTGGGAGTGGGCTTTGAGGTCTCAGAAGCTCAAGCCAGGACCAGAGGCTGACTCTTCCTGCTGTTTGTTGATCTGGATGTAGAACTCTCAACTGCCTCTCCAGCACCATGTTGGCTTGCATGCTGCCATGCTTCCTACCATGACGATAATGAACTAAACCTCTGAACCTTAAGCCAGCCCCAATGAAATGTTTTCCTTTATAAGAGTGGCCATGGTGTCTCTTCACAGTAATAGAGACCCTAACTAGGACAACCATTTAATCTATTAGTAATTTATTTGGGTCTGTGGTCAAAGGTGAATTCCCAAGTTCTTTCTCTTCCTTTTCTCCCAGATAGCTAAAATCAGTATGTTTTAACACAACTTACAGAAAAATTCAGAAAAGGATGTGCTTTAGTAAATATGATTTTTAACTAGCTACCATGGACTGTGGTCTGAAGTGGAAAATACGACTTTACTAAGCCAAGATAATATGATGAACTTCTTCTAGTAAACGTCACAAACCAGGGTGAGTAGAAGTAAAGGCAGAATTTGATAATTCACAAACAGAGCAAACTTTATGTTTGGAAAAATTAAAATTAAGACAGGTTTAGAGGGAAAAAAATCCATAAAAATAATAGGCAATCTAGACTTTTAATAACAGATGGTGGAAGAGAACAGGAGCTCTTCCTGAAAACTTTGCCTCTATTTTGCTGTGCAAGTGAGAAAGAAA